ATTCCAAAGTCCAATCACTCCTTCTGGAAAGAAATTCCCCCTGATGTCCAACCTAAACCTCCCCTGGCAAAACTTGGTGATGTTTCCTCTCATCCTGTCGCTGGTACCTGTAGAGAGCCATAAAGTCCGCCCTGAGCCTCCTTTTCTCCTTCTCTAACAACACCAACTCCTCACGGGACTTGCGCTCCAGACTTGCTGCAACCTGGAGGCCTGTGGGCTCCAGGGCTAACACCCGGCTGGTCCTCTCCCCCTGGGACCTTCCTTTGGTCCTTCAGCCATCCTGGAATCCTGAAATGTCCCTTGGCCAAGTGTAGGTTTGCTGCCCTAAAAGCAAAGTTCACCTGTGGGAGAGTTTGTGGGGACTGGAGCTTTGTCTGGGATGGAAGGAATTGACAGGGGCACAGAAGGCTGAAGGGAGGTACGAGAGAAAGGAAAATCCTGAGAACACATACCTTTTTAAAAGCCATCCAGTGTTACTTATTTTCTTTACTTCTTTTTGGGTCCATCCACCAATAGAAAGGCTGGGAAGTGCACTTCAAAGAGCTGAAAGTACGATGGATGCAGAACAGATGTGGGGATTTAAAACATACCAGACAAGTCAGAGAGTCATAGACTGTTAAGGGTTAGAAGAGACCTTAAAGACCATTGAGTTCAACCCCACTGCCACAGTTGTGGACACCTCCTGCTAGGTCAGGTTGCTCAAAGCCCCATCTGACCTGGCCTTGAGCACTTCCAGGTATAGGGCATTCAACAATGTCCTTGGGCAGCCTGCTCCAGTGCCTCACCACCCTCACAATGGAGAATTTCTTACTAACATCTAGCCTAAATTCCCCATCTCACTTTGTACCCATTGCTCGTTGTCCTGTCACTACCAGTCATACAAAGTGCAAGAGCTGCTGTCAGTGGAAAGGATAAGCTTTGGCTAGGAAGGTCTGCAAGGAATGGATCAGTAACCTTTCTCAAACACTTTATAGTTTGTGTTTTGGTACAAAGGAGTTGGTTAATCTGAATGTTATAGAAACAAAAAACACATCAATTTTGAGAACTTCCCAACACAGGAATACAAACAATCTCTAAGCAACCATACCCCTTTGTTTTCCCCCTTGTTTACCACTCACCAGCCTGCATAGCACATGCACTGTGCTTTCCTCTCCTTCCACCTGCCCCTGTGCCAGTAGTCTCTCATTTGGAGACGTGCAATTCCCGAGCAGCAACTCAGAGTCTCGCCTCCTGTAAAAAGGCAGGGTAGAGTCAAACTGCACCTTCACATTTCATAAATTCCCATGACACATGGTGGAGTACACTGTAGGGGAAGAAGTGCTGCTTCTGTTCATATGGAAATAACGTTACATTTGTCAGCCCCCTCAGCCATGTTAGGATAGAAAAGCATTGCTCCCTTTACTCAGTACTGAACAACAGGTAAACCCTGAAAGTAAATGTAAACTTGGCCTTGTGTCTTCTGAGTTTTTTTTTGTCTGGAAGAAGTGTTTTTAACTGCAGTTTGAATCAAAAGACTGGTAATGTTTCCTTTTTCTTTTTTTTACTAAAAAAAAAAACGTAGTTTCCAACATTATAAAAGGGAAATACCAGATTTACTTAGAGATGCAGCCTAAACATCTGCAAGATGAAACTGCTAGCTTTCTGTACAACAGCTGAAGGCTTTTACAACTATTCCTATCCCTGTGTTTTGATTTTCCTCCCACACAATGATGGAAAAACGTTCCCTGCATCACTGTTAAATGAGCCTCAGGTGGGAGGAGGAGTGGACAAGCAGCAGCTGCCTGCCATAAAGAGGACCTGGTTAGTTTTCTTCTGGGATGGCAGCGGCAGCAGCAGCAGCAGCAGCAGCAGCAGCAGCAGCAGCAGCAGCAGCATTATTGGACTTTAGGTTTTTGGGGCTCTGGGGGGGGGGGGGGGGAATAGATTAGTTCTTGTAGGGGGCTTTGTTTGGTGGTTTGTTTTGTTTTTGTGGGGTTTTTTTTTTCCTTCTCTGCACCACCCTCCTTCTCAAAGGTCAAAGTAATTCTTTGGTTCTTTGAGGGAGTCTGTAGGCTTTTTGGTGCTTTCAAGAACTGCACAGGCCACCCTAGATGGAAGCTGAAGAGGGCTCCAGCATTCCTAAGGCATTCTGAAGCTCTAGGCTGAACAGTGTGTTGATTGCTAACAGGTCTCAAAATAATTTTGTTTCTTTTGTAGCTTTGAAGTGCTTGAATCCTCTAAAGAGTTAAGAGTCCTCTGATTTCTTATAGTCTTGCTTATAAGCTCTGTGTGATAGTGTTGTATTGCTTGCAAGTATTAGTTAACTGAGGAGACATCCAAGTGTGGGAGGAAGTTCTGTCTTGTGAATTTTATATGGCTCTGAATGCAAATTTACACATAAGGATTTTGGTGGGGTTGTTTTTGCTACCTATCATTTGGTTTAAGCGTAGGAAGCAGGGTGTCACTGAAATACTTGGTTTACTATGTTAGTTAGCTGTTGTTCTTAAGTATAGTATAAAGTACAAATCCTGAATTAATGGCGTTCTTATTGTAATGTGTAACAACACATGCATTAGCATTAAGTAATTAAGAAGAGTTTTCTCCGTGAAGCATTAAATGTCTGATTGTGTGAAGCTTTTTTTTTTTTTTTCTTTGTGTGTGTGTGGCCTCTTGCTCAAGGCTAATTCACTGAAGGCTTTTTTATTTAATTAGCTGGAATACTACTTATAGAGATGTATGCATCTAAGACTACTGAAACTCTGTAGCTTTAGAGCATGTTACAAGGTTGCCTTGAAGGACTAATATCAAGAGCTGTGTACAAAAGCTTGCTTAGCAAAGCCCAACTGAAATATTTGACCTTGATAGCATGTCAGTTTGTTACCTTCTGTTTGGAAGATAGCAGCTTTCTTTTAGAAGGATATGTTTTCTCTGGCCAGGGAGAGGAATGTCTGCTAAATTCTGACAGAGCACAGAAATAATTAAGTCATGGAGTTCTTAAAGTAGTTGATAATGATTACTTCTCTCTTTCAGCGTTTGAAGGAAAATGAGTAGTCCCCCAACTTCAGAAAGTGGATCATATTCCACAAACCACTCGGGACCCTTTATTTATGCACAGCCATCAGCTCAACAGCCTTATCCAAATCCATGGTACCTCAGTTATGCATACAGTCCATACTGCGTACCTGCTCCAGGTAAGACAAACAGCAGCTCTCTGTGGCATCTTTGCTTACTTAGCTACATTCTTCTTTCCCCCACTCTTGCAGTATCTGTGTTAATGAGCCTCTTGGGAGTTTAACTAATACTTAATAAATCAGATTTTTGACAGCTCTAGCACTACATTAATTCTGCCTTCAATATGTAGCTTGTGGGTGCTTCTGGAGAAGGGAAGCTAAGCAAAATATTGAGTAATGGTCATCCTGCAGACACAGAGCTCCAGAATATACTTAGCAATTAATATGAGTGGGTATATATGAATTCCACATGTGCATGCATGATCGGTATGGATAAATGTAAACTTAAGAAAATAAGAAAGATATTATTAAATAGACCTTGTAAATGCTATACTTATGTGAACTTCTACCTGGAGCTGTCTTTTTCAAAATCCATGCTCTATAATAGTCTGTGAAATAGCCAAAAAAAGCACAGAAAACAACTTGATGAATGTTCCAAGGGATGAAAACAAGCCCTGGTTAAAGTGTAGATGTTGAGATAAACTATTCCCTAATGAAGAACTCTGTTTTTGCACCAGATTTGCTACTAAGCATTGAAAGGTGGTGTGTTTTATTTACAATGTGTCTGATCTTGTAGCTGGCCCTGTCTATGCAAGTAAATATGATTCAGGATGACTAATTTCAGAAAGATATTTGTCTTTTCTTTTTGTCACCAATGTCTAGGCTTTCGAAGTGGAAATCCATATTTTCCATTTTATCCTGTTGCTCTCCATGAGTACCCTCGATTTTTTGTCCCACAGCATCCAGTGCATGCAAGAATTAACAGAAGGCCTTATTTTAATGCTGCCCCACCTTCCCCTATGTTTTATCATGCAACAAGATTCAGACATTATAATAGCCCTGGGAAGAAAATGGAGACAAAAGAAACACAGACTGATCCTAGACAGCCTGAAAGCAAGCAAAAAAGGCATCAAGATATCCGTACAGAAACGAAAGGTTGTGATGCAGGAAATACAGCCTGTGTTTCTCCTGGTATAGGTACAGAGACTGAAAGTACTTCAGAGAAACAAAATTCGTTTGGCTCTTCTATTGTGGTAGACAGAGAGTTTCATAATAAGAACCCTGCCAGCTCTACACAGTATAGAAATCTTCCTACTGGAAGCTATGCCTTTGAGAAGGAAGAAGTGAGGATAGAATATGGAAATGGCTCTCCAGCTATTCAGCTGTGGAAATCCTTCAAAGAAACAATCCCATTGTATGACGTGGCAAGTGGTAAACCAGTTCCAGAGAACATAGTGCCACATGACTTGTTTTCTGTTAGCTCATGTGAAGGCATGATATATGGCCCTCATGAAGGGGAGAATATGCTGCCAGGAGCTTCCTTAGATGAGAGAAAAGCTATTGTCACCTCTAAACAGGGTGCTGAAGCTGTGCAAGAGAAAGATGTGCAAAATAATGAAGTGAAGCTGGATGCAGAAATGATGGCAAAACCTCCCCCAGGTGAAACCGTGGCAGTGCAAATCACAGAGTTGGCAAGATCTGTTGGTGTAGACCAACCAGTGGTAATAGCTAAGAAATCTAGCACTAAAAGGTCTGCAGGATCAAAAACTTCTCAAGAAGAGCCTGGCTTTATTCAACAGGCAGGACTGCTTCCATCTAATATGGAGGTAATGAGTGACTTTCAGCAGAAAAAGCTGAATTTAAGCCACAGTGCAACCAATGAAAGTCAGACAGAAAAAAGCATTTGGTGTGACAAATCAATTGAGAAGTTTGCTCCCTCTAGCAGCTGGCTGGCTTGTTTGGACAGTATGGACACAACCTACAACGCTTGTTTGCCACAAAGGAAGCGCCGAAGTGTAATCAGTCTGTCTTCTGATGACATATCCTCTGGAGAGGAAGGCTCATCAACTGATAATGCCCCAGTGTCTTATTTTGTGCCTGACTATGTGCTTCAGAAAAGCACGTACACTCTTCAGAAAAGTACAGAGGGCTCAGAGCAAATTAAAAGTGGTGGATCCCCTAACGTAGATGAAGTGGTAGGAAAGGAGCGGGTGAACAGCCTGAATGACCAAGATGTCAACTCTTCAAATACAAAGATCAAAGAGACTTCCAGTAAAGGTAGAAAGCTGGGATCCCTTCCTAGGTCCTCTAGTTGGAAAGAAGTCGATTCTCCCAACAAAAAAGCAACTAAGAGTTTGTCAGAAGCTGAGGACTCTGAAGAATATTCTGTGAAGGGAGAAGAGGAAGATGAAGATGGAGAGGATGAGTATGAGGAGGACGAGGATGATGACATGGATGAAATTGAGTATTTCTTTCAAGAAGCCCCTCCGTATGGCATCTTGAGGCCAAGTAAAGGAAATTTCTACCAAGTTGGCCAGAGAGTGCTTTGGAAACCACCTACAAATGCTGTACCAGCACAACTAATTAGCTGGCCTGCTCAAGAGAAAATAAAAACTAGGAGTGGGCTTGTTGGAAACATTGGTGTGGTTTACAAGCCAAAGAAGAGAGACCAAGATGAAGTTGTATACAGTGACTATGGGTATTATGGAAGAAAGAGGCCTATGACAAGAAGAGAAGGACTTGAACACCAGCGACTGCTACGGAAATTCTTGAGAGGTGAGCTAATTGCTAAGGACCAAGTGCTGATTAGTAGCATACACAAAGAACACCTAATTGCAGTTTCATATTGTAGCTTAAACTAGTGGGAAGATTAGAGCATGTAGCAGCTTCAAATTTGGCCAAGAGCCAGAAGTCCTGCAGAATACTTTTTCTGAAGCAGAGGGAAGTGTGCTGCAACTTTTTAACTATTGTATAAGTACTCTGTATTTTTACAGCTAGCAGAGAATAATGCAGAAACTCTCCTTTGTGTTAGATTTGATATATTTAACTTCTGACATTAGTGGCAGTTTATTAGTTTGTAAAGCTTAAGATAATTTGGATTATGTGTTTACTGTTGCTTAATATCTGAGAAGCTCTTAAGTTAAGTTTAAGTTAAGTTTATACAGTCTGACTCTCCTACCACAGACTCATGCTGGGTGCATTAAACAGAATTATTACCACCAGGTGGACATATCCTGTGTAGCTTTCCTGCAGTTGAGGAGTCAAACAATTTTTTTTTTTTAAATTGTAGCTGCTGCTTTCTTAGCAAAACCAGTTTTGTACTTTCAGAAAATTGGTGTGAAACATTATTAAATTTGACCTGGGAAAGGACATCTTATTTATTCCAAGGTAGATCCTCTTAGAAATTGGATTAATGTAAACTGAGAATAAGAAGAATTATCAGTTTGCAACAGGTGATATGGTCACTTCAGCAGGTGGCTGCTGTTTAATAGTGTCTTGTATTGTAAAAAAAAACCAAAACAGGGTGATTTACTGCTAATAGCAGGCTTAGTGTTCTTAAACTTTATTTTTTTTATTCAAAATCTGTACACTTAATATGTCTTGTAATTTTTGTTAAGTGTAATCTCAAGAAAACTGTTTCTACTTCAACAGATTCCTACAATCAGATCCAGTAGCTGGCTTTGCATTCTGGCTTGTGGATCAAACAGTACATCAGCACTACCAAGACTAAATACTGATCTTATTTTACTTTTTTTTTTTTAATTTTAATTAGGAAGGCTGTTAAGAGAGAACATGGGGATACCACCTGAAGAGTACTGGATTAGAAGTGGTGCTAAACCCAGATTTACCAGCCAAATACGTGGTAGTTTCTCACCTCCAGAAAGGGGCAAAGAACAAGGTACAGCTTTCTCTGTGTTTTTGTTCCTAAGGAACATCCAGAAGGATCTGATACAAAATAGCAAGCACATGAAAGTTGCATAAGATTTGAAAACAATAAAACTAATCCTTGTTGCTTTGCTATTTATAAAATGCCTGTCAGTCATGGTATATCTTGGATATATTTATAGCCTTCTCAAACTGAAACAGGGTAATAAGGGTGCATCAGAGACACTTATGGGGATTTTTAAAGGTAATTTTATAGAAAATCATTAAATGCTTTGATGTGGCCAAAGCAAAGCCTTTATTTGTGTAAAGTTGTTACTGCCATAAACTGTAATATTATTTCTTTATACAGATAATGCTACTCTTGATAGCATGTGCAGTGGTAGCTCCTAATTTTGATCAGTAAAACATAGAGTTCTATGTGGTAGCTTCATATGCCAATGCTCAGAAAAACTAGCATGGACCAACAGGTGCCCTGACACTGCTAAAGAATGATGGAGTGCAAATCATTTTGATCTAGTTAAGGAAAAGATGAAGAAAACAGTTATTTTAACAAAGGAATAGCTTAGATAGTTTCTTAGCTCATGAAGCAGAATGTTTTGTTTTTTCTTCTTTATAGTTAGTCTTACTTGGAGTTCAGATCTGGTTTTGATGCTTTTCAAAGGTGTTTGAGTGTAGGTGCTGTTGGAACAGCTATGGAATTTGCTGTAGTGTGGGTATTGCCACTCTCCTGGGTCATGTGTTTCATGCATCTCAGGATCAGCCTATCAAGTAATGGGGTGTGAGGCTATCTTCAGAACAAATGATTTGCTTCTCTTCAGTTCACTGATAATATACATCAGCTTTCCTATATCAACAACCAAGTAGACAGTGTGTTTTCCTTAGTTCTTGCTTTGCATTGCTTTCCTGCTTGAGCACATTGGAGTTTGGGATTATTTGCCTGTTGCATTGGAGGCTTTCTAGATGCAGAGTTTAGTGTTGCATGGTTTTGTTTTTTAATTCTAGCATGCTCTATAAGAGTTGAAAACATTTTACTTTAGCAGCATTGTTCCTGGCTCCACTACAACAATGTATAAAAATATTGGTAATAGTTCTAAAATAACTGTAAATTACCTTTAACTTTCAGCATGTCTCTTTTGCATCTTTGAATTCATAGATGGTGGAGCAAACTGAGGATGTTTGGTCTGTTTCTTGCTTACTCTTCCTTTTTCTAGCCCAGATAGTTGGAAGAAGTCATCACATTCAGTGTTAGGAAGCAGGAACTGGTGTTTTCTGAATGCTGTTTGTGCCAGTGGATGCCTCATTAGTGCTATTAAAATTACATTCTCTTTAAAAATGTTGCCTATATTATTATTTGCTTTTTCAAATTAAGTGCCCTACGAGTAAGGAGGTTTGCCTAAACAAGATATATGGCTTTAGCAGTAATATCATGCACTAAATTTGACTGCTTGAGCAGTGTACTTGTAGTGCCTAACTCACAGGTCTGAAGCTTTTTAAAGACAGTGGGTGAATCGGGTCACTTGGACAGCACCAACTAGTCTTGAACACCTGAAAAGTGAACCAAGGCACAGTTATCCAATGTATTAGGTTCCTTTTTGACCACATTAACACCTATCCAAATTATAACTCAAAATACAATGCATCCAGAATTATGGTTAAACAGTGATTAAATGCTGTAGATGTGTAAGACTTGCTTGGCATGTGTAGTGTCAATTTTATCTGCTACTTAAAATGGGTACAAAAAAGGGAGGGAGGAACACCACAGACCAGCTGGTGAAAATCATGGTTAAATTTGCCTTGAGACTATGCATTGGATAAATAACACCACTTGTATCTTGTTATTTAGTGTGCCCACCTTTGGTTAAAGCAAAGAAGAAAAGACTGGGCAAGCCACCTTCAAAAGGCAGAGACACAAGACATGAGGTGGAAGAAGCAGAAATGTGGGAGCTGCCTAAACACAGCGTACACAAAGGTTGGTATACAGTGACAAGCTACAAAAATTACTGTTACAAGTATTTTTTTCTATCTTGGGGACTAATCTTTCTTGGTTTGAACTGCAGGGATGTTGGATAGCTTGTGAAATGCAGAAAAGGTGGGAGGGAAGCTAAACTTTGAGCACTTAACACCTTGCTATGAATGCAGTGTAGCTTTGACCAGGCTAGGTTCCTTCTTTGTTTAATGTAAGGATGGGGCAGGAAACCCACAGCAAAACCTGCTGTTTTAGTCTAGTTGCTCTTCAGACTGCTGTACTGTCTCTTGGAAGTGCTGGGTCCTGTGTCACTTTGCAGTACATGCCTTTATTTAAGTTACTGATCTGCCTCAGCCCAAATGATTTGCAATTTGCTACAATACAAATGCATATAGATAATTCTTAAGATCTCCAGCTTTATGGATTAGGAACTTCTGGCTATTTTGGAGGAGGACAGGGAAAAACAGTGGAGGGAAAAATCAAAATGAACTTGAGTCAGCAACAAATATGCTTTTGTGCATTTGTGTGAGTCTGAAAAGGTTATAAATTGAAAAGGGTCAGTAGTTACAAGAAGCTATCTGTAAGATCAGTTTTCTTTCTGGAAAAGAGTAAGTTAGTGCAGAAGAATGAACCCAAGTATTCCATCAGGAAATACATGAGTAAAAGATAGTCTCTCTCTCATATAATAGACAAAGGCTTAGACTTTCATCTTGGAAATGTAAGGAAGGCTGGAAACCAACTTAGGCTGAAGTATCTTACTAGTGAAAATCTGCATCAGCCCTGAAGACAGATTGTTTGAACATTGGTCTTAAACCTTTAATTGCTGACCAGATTTTATTAAAAGCATCCAGGAAGCTTGCATAATCCCAAAACACTCCTTGTATTTTCCCCAGAAATAGCTGATGTTTCTTGGATACATTCAACAATGCAGTTATATGAGCACACTGAGAATGTGATGTGAGCTTCACATGGAACTCTTATGTGTTATGCTGGGATATTCTGAAGTCCAAAACCACTCATGCACATTTTATACTAGCTGGGAAGTTGAGTACATAATTCTAATATCAACCATCAGTGCCTGCAATAGGAAAAGACAATCACTAATATCTAATCTTTTTTTAGAAGCAAATGGACATAATTTTGAGATGGAATATATACATACCTTAACTTGTTTCTTTTTTTTTTTTTTTTTTTTTCCTTCAGGGCATGGAACAAAGAAGTCCCTCTCTAAGAAAAGATAATTGCAAATATTGGGGCAGAAGTATGTGGAGGGGAGGGTAATATCAAAGTTTTTTTCTGTATAAATCCAAGATTTGATTATCATTCTCTTGCATATTTTGTAAGTTGCTGTTCACTCTAAAAGGGCAAGAAGTGACACTGTGAAGACTGAGTACACAATTAAAATGGAATGAAGTATTTAACACCAAAGACACCTTTTTATAACTGGCACATCCACTATTTAAATAATAAATTTCATGGAATTGCACTTTGAGCCTTCTTGTGTTCCATCTTTGCACAGTAGCAAAAAAAACTTGAGATGGCCATGTATGTGCACAACTGCTATTACAGCATGACAGTTATTGCTGCCCTGTCCTTAAACTCTACAGGTCTGTGAAGCCTGTCCCTGTTATCTCACAGTCATATGACCTAGACATAAGTACAAGATCCTTTTCTATCAGCTGGATTTGTTTTTGTCAAAATGTAGAGGAATATAGTTACAGCTGTATGAAGTCAAGTGCTGTTTCAAACTTTCAAGGCAGTTCCTCAAATCTTACTCTCATGATTGAGGACTAAAACTAAAGCATCGAGTTGATGTGATGCTTCCCTCTCCTCCCCTTTTTCTCTTGAGATTTTTGAGTCCTTTATGGAGACCCTGAGCTGGAGATATGGATCTGAAAGGTAAAACAGAAGATTTTAGTGGTGTGCCCTGTTTTCTGACTTCCTACTGATGACTTCTATGACTTACAGGTGATATTGTCCCTGGGAGTCTCTTTACAGAACTAAGATGATAAAATTAGGTCTGTGCTGAGCTGTCTTAAGAATAATGGTAACAGACTGATCTAGATGAGGTGGATAGCTCAAAAATATGCATTTCTTTTTTTCCATGTCTAGGAAGGCTATTATTACTGTGTGAGAAGAATAAATATGCTATTGCCAATCTTGAATGATTTGCAAATAAAATTATAGCATCAGTGAAGAAAATGGGAAAACAACAACAAAAAACCAAAACAAAAAAACCCTCCCATCTGGTTTGCCTTAAAATAGGGTGGGGTGAATGGACAGACAGAACTTGTCTTTTGCCTCCTCTCCCATCTTCTTAATCTGTCTGGGCCCTAGAGTAAGCTACATGGATAAAAGCAGCATTTCCTGTGACTGTTTAGGTTTTGTGCCTATCTATTACTAGCTTGCCCTCTACCTGAAGTTCTGCTGTTTTCCCTCTTAGTGAGGAGTAGTGATATTTCCCTACCCAATTGATCCTATCTCTTTATTATTTTTAATACCACCTGGTTAATTGTTAAAGCTCTGCTATAACTACAGCCTTTACCACAAGCTGTTAGAGGAAAGAAGTCATTGTGATGACAAGTTTTCAATTCCTTTTTACTTCAAGTAATGAAAGAAAATAAATGCATTAAAAATTCTTATTTGTCTTCTGTGCTGCATGAAATCTCTGCACCAGAACAACAAAGAATAAAATGAGGAATTCAAACATGGAGCTTTTTAACACCCATTTCTGCTGATGGCCTTAGCTGTATCTTTTGCTGCTTATCTTATAAAGGAGTATTCATGACCTCACAATCAGATGGCATTCTTACTTTTGGGAATGGCTAACACCTGATAGGTACTCCAAATGATCATGTTGGTCATCTTTTTACAGGTCTTGTACTATTCAGTGTGATTTCCACTCAGATGCAAGAGGTAATTTAGGACCTGGTGATGCTCCTGGGAGGACTTGAGGGAGTAGCAGTAGGAGAGTACACAGCTCTTTGTCTGAAAACAAATGCTATTTTAAACTAGTTATAGCTTGTACTACACTTGTGCTATGCCAAATACTTAAAGCAGTGTGCATGAATGTGTTCAAGAAAGAATTATTTGATAAGGTTATGTGCAGTGTAGTTTACTGTAACAGTACTAGTCCTCTGACCTTAAAACTAAATCTTCTACTTGGCTTTTTTTTCCATTCAGCAGTATGGACAATTTGTGGATTGCATCTTAACTGGCTCACATCTGAAACTAACGTTCCAGTGAGTCAAAAGGCTGTACTTCGCAAAGGCAGTGAAGTACAAACTGCATTGAAAAGGCTGGGAGCTCAAGCCTAGGCTCTTGTTTATTCAGCCAGGTAACCAAGGCCCAGTGCTATTTAGTTTTGCAGAGGCACATACGTGTCAGCCTTTGTTCCCACTGCAGCCGGACTGACTGCCCAGTGACTCACTGCAGCGCTGGCAGCGCTGAGGCTTTGGAACTGTCGCAGTACTGCATTGCCTTGGAAGTTTCACTGGCTTCCTGCAGCATCTCCTGAAAGGCAGCTGAAGAATCTATTTGCTGCTTGGCACACCAGCAACAAACCTTAGAGGCCTCTGGGATTGCCATACCAAGAGCATTGTTTGGACAGACTTACTGTCTGTGGCTCAGGACTTCTAAATCATTATTTGTAGCTAACTGAATCCTCTGTTGCAAAGTGGGTGTGGTGTAATTACTGACGTGGAGCTCTGGGTTCTGTTGGCTTGCCAGGTACTAATTCTGAATTTTAATTTTCAGTTTGGTAGCACCTGGATGGCATAAAAATTTTTTTTGCCTTTTACAATGTCTGGTGTTCTGCCTTATACTGGAAAATATTAACCACAGGTTCTTCTATTAAAATCAAACAAAGGCAGAACAGAGCTAATGGCAAAAAAAACCCCAAAAAAACAAAAAAAAAACCCAAAAAAAAGCCCCAAACCCCAAAAGCCTATAACACTCATGGCATGCTAACTGAAGGTGTACCAAGGAAAAACAAATTCATTCCTTTTTTAGAGTACTAGCTTCCCCTGACTTGCTGCCACTGGCTGTCTCACTCAAAAAGACAATAAACCCCATCTAATTGAGTGGCCAAAGAATTAAGGAAAGCATCAGTATATCTTTCTTACAAACTATCTTACAAAAATGATGCAGAGTTTGAAGATCAAATACCTGGGAAGCTGTATTGCCTCTGAGGGTTGTTTTAGCTGCATTTAACACTTCTTTAGTTTCATGGGACTACATAATTATGCTATTACTATCACTGGGGCTTCAACAGAACATTCAAATGGAAATAAATGTCTATAAAGAAGGCAAGAAAAGATGTTTTTTGAAAAAAAGCCTCAAATGGTTATGATTTAAAAAGTAAGGCTAGTCAGTTTTTCAAGACTATAACTTTCCATTCTGCGTTCTGGGTTTACTTCAACATAGAACTGCTTTTCATTAATCTAAAGGGGTGTTGGTATTTATCTCTAGTCTACATATTTTTAAAAGACTTATCTTAAATGACAGCTTTGGCACTGTTTAAAATGCCAAATGATGACATGAATCATGCTTCTCAGCACTCTAGCCCTGGCTGTTACAAGAGCTCCTATAAATCTTAGTCTATTGGAACTGTTGAAGTTTGAAATGCTACTTTTATGAGTTGCAGTAAAGACCTACATGGGATATGACAGGGGCTTATAAAACTGGAAATTATATAGGGAGAACAAACAGGAATCAGTTACTCACATACCCTCCAGTGCAAGATTAAAGGTGTGTGAAATTAAACTAGTACAAAGCAGTGGGAAAGCCAATTGCTACGAGTAATAAATAATGAAGATGAATTCACTGCTAAGGAAAATGGCAAAGTTTATAAGCAGTACGTGGATATAAAAGAAAATATATCCGAGGCCACTAAACACTAAAATCTAACCCATGATTCTAAGTACCTGCAGCATAGGTACTCTCAGCAATAGCGGGTGAGAGAGCAGCTCAGTGAAGTAACAGAAATAACAGCAGAGTTTGCACTTCTGTGCTGTGGAGGTGTGTTCTATAAACCCTGACTGGAAAGATACTATGCCTTTAGTCAGGCATAGAAAAGTTATTTGGCATCTCAAGCATTTAAATTAGATTTTATACAAGTTAGAAATGGTCTCCTAATGTATTTTTCTTAATTGTTAAAATAATAAACCCTGATTGATACAAAGAGAGAATTCCATTAACAGGGAAGGGGATTGCAAGGGAAGAACTGAATTTGTTTATATTAAACTGAGCTCCAGAACAATCTTAAATGACAAAAGCTGAAGTAACTGAAGAGATGCCAAGTTAGCCCTGCTCTAGACAAGCCTGAGTAAGAGTTGTCTTGGAATGCATCAGGTCAATATCAGGCTTCCAGCATCTGTTCAATAATCTATAAATGCATTCATCTCAGCCCCAAGTGTGGCAATAGAGGAATCCTAGAATGGTTTGGGTTGGAAGGGGCTGTAAAGATCATCTCGTTTCAACCCCCTGCCACACAGGGCCACCTCCCACTAGAACAGGTTGCCCAGAGCCCTGTCCAACCTGGCCAAGAGAATCGGTCCATTATAAATATCCCTATGCTATTTCAGCTGTTAAATCTTTTTCTGGTGAAAGAACAAGGCCCTTGGGATTTGATAATGCTGCTAATATAGGGAACTACCATGAGTCACCAGTAAATCCCATCACAGGGAGATTTGCTAAATACAAGACAAAATACAACTCTACCTTCAAGGTCTGGGAATATGATACAGAAACTTCTTTTAAGTAGGCCTTGCTTATCTTGTTTTTCCTCAGAACATACTGTGAATGACTGGCAAGGAATGGGGGGGGGTTATTTTTTCTAAACCACTCTAGGACATGTAGGAGGGAGAAAAAACATTTTAATTTATACTTTCCCTTGTCCTCTCTTCCAAAGCTTTGAAGAAAATAAAACAATCTTAGCTGCATTGTACTCTATGACTCCTTGATTTCACTGTTAATGTTCCTTCTACTGTATTAGAGCTGTATGGTGTGGGGTTTTTTTTCAATCTTAGCATACCCACAGAGACTAAATACTATAAAGTTCTTTCAAAGCAAATCCATTTTTCTCTTTTCTTTTGCACAGTACCAATATCCATGATCTAGTTCCTCAATTCACAGCTCTGTACTAATGTACCTTGAGGCTTCAAAGAGAGTTGGTTACTGTAAACTGCTGTTTATAGCTATCTCCATCTTCCTGGCTGAGTCTGCAAGATTATTTAAAAGTGTGGTCAGTATGTGAGGTCTAATAAATACACAAAATGTTCTCTTCTTCCTGCTTACAAATTCTTTACTATTATTGTGGTTTCATGAATAGTTGAAAACCATTATGAGAGTCTTACACATTTATATTCTTGTGGGATGATTCAAAAAAATGTTACTTCATCAAATCTAGTAAGTATAAAAAGTGTGAATTTATTACCCCTAAGCCTTTTAAAAAGGAAACCTCCCTCTCAACTTGTACCAAAACAACTGATACTGCAGAATGTGCAGAAATGCATCTTTTTAATTTCTTATGTGGAACCCCCCCTTTTAAAATAACTAAACTTTACAGTTAAGTTGAATATTTAACATCATTACACTTGGCTCCCACTTCTATGGTTTAGACACTGGACATGTTTCACTTCAGGTGTTTCAGAGTTTTGTATTAATGATGGTGATGTTGAGATTTTGTTACACACACACAAAAAAAAAAATCAAGTCTTGTAGATGCTGCAATTTTGTCATAAAATAAATCTCCTTGATTACCTTTTGTCTCCTGCAGCAGAACTCTTTATTTCCCTAGCTGCCAATATTAGGATAAGTACACAGAAGTTCAGCACGTACGTGCAGAAGAAAATACAGTACAACCTGCTCATTACAAGCACTGGAAGGGAACCCTCAGTGCTCTGCATGGTGCAAACTGCAGTCCTGGTACAATGAGGCTTTGTATGTGATAAAATAACTTCATGGAGTAAAGACACTTCAACAGACAGGCTGCTAATGCTACAGGTTTGTCGGTGATCCCTTGGTGGTCGCTGCTTTCTGCTGCTGGTCACAGGCAGCAATGCAGAGGCCCCATCTGACCAAGCTGGACGAGTCTCAGCACGGGTTTTACAGCACAAAGATATGGTTCAATGCACCTTTCTTCTTTCTGGCTGCAGAGGGGCAGAAGAGCATGCCAGTGTAGGATGCTGTATGCATACACATGTATGTTTCAAGTTTAATAAAGCCCTTTCTGGTGTTTTCCTCCTCATTCTTTGGATCTTTCCTCACAGTTCACAAGTAGAGAGGTCAATGAGCATGCAGCAGGTGACTGCTGTCAGTCAGATTCTGACTTGTCATTAGATTTGGATGATTTATGCTTCCTCTTTTTCTTCTTCTTCTTTTCTTTCTTTTTCTTTTCCTTTTTTCTCTTTTTCTTCTTGTGTTTATGTTCTGAGGAAGTGGAGCTGCTGCCATCTTCATCATCGTCATCACTGTCATCACTGCTATCAGATTCTGAGGTAGAGTCCTCCAGGAGCTGCTTCAGTTGCTGTATCCTGAGTTAAAAATATGTGAATGAGAATCCTTTCTACCTTGTCTTTCCCCCCTAGCTTTCATCCTTCCTTGCTGGCCTGAGGAATGGTTGAGCTGCATGCAAAGGGCAGGGGAACGCTTCCTCTTTCGCTTAATTACACTCTCATTACAGATAATATCATGGGCTGATAAAAGCAACTCCCTTGAGACAAGCAGATGTTCTGCTTTCAGGGACTTTCCATCCCATTGGATAGGAAAGGCAGACAGGCTTATTAGCTTATTTATGTGTGCAAAATAATAAGGCAACAGCTAACACCAGCCCACCTGGTGATAAGAAGTTATGTGCTTATCCCTACAGAGGCATATTGGGATTAGGATATTATGACATTCATTGTCCTGCTGATACAGAGAGGATGTCAGTGAAGCTGACAGAGTAGGCTCTAGCCTGGATGCAGAAGTATTTTTGAAAGGCATTCTTCTTTTGTACTCTCAAGGATTAGGGACAAAGTATTGGCTTATTTTATTGTTGTCTTCTGCATCCTCTTCAAGGACTCCTCTCCAAGAATGCTGCTCTATGGGCTACCTATAGTTTGTTCAGTTATCCCACTGAAGCAGTTCAAGCAAGAAAACAGCAAAACCTGCCACTTTATGCACTAAATATTGACCTCACAAAAGTAGCAATATGAAGTGCCTAGAACCAGCTTTCTAAACTCCCACTTCATTTCTACTGAAAACATTCTGACAAACCACATTTCAGAAAACACCTCAGTGAAGTCAGTGAAAGAAAAACAATAAATCAAACTGTTTCTTCAGGCCTAAACCAAAACTACACCCAAGTACCTGAATACTATGGCATAAATGCATATAACTGCCCTTTAAACTTTGTTTTGGGGAGAATACAAAAGCTAAAGAATTGAAGTGATTGGAAGTACTAAAGAGTGATTATTTAGAAAGCAGAAATGCATTAGTCTATCAACATAAAGAAACTGCCATTAAAAAAACGTTCTGAACTAAAAATAAGCTACTATAAAGAGGTCACCTATACATTAGTGCCACATTACCAAAATAAAAACTAAATTGAAAATGTTGTTTACTACAGGCACACTCACCTCTTTTCTTTTTCATGACGCTTATTTTCCCTTATTATATCATACATTGGATCTTCATGTGCCTTTAAAATGGAAAACAGGAAATGCAATGTTATCACAATGGTTTTATCTCCTAAAAAAATAAACCAAAGCAACCAAATGCAAGAGGCTTTTATGAAAAGAGGGAATATGCTTAGCAAGCTCTTCATTCACTGACAGACTTAGCACTGTTCACCTGAACTTTTCCTGTATTTGCTTTAGGGAAATGTTATCTAGCTACATCTCCAAAGAAGGGGACCTTCCTTAGGTATGCATCTCCCTACCTCTCCAATCACAGCCAACTATGAGAATCCCATACATAATCTGTGGGAATAGCTAGACTTAGATAGAATACTCAAGTTCAAAATAATGATTTGTACCCTTACAGTACATTTTAAAAATCTGGATATAAACAAACAGGAATACAGGAGTAAGGAATATAAGATATGGACAATGAAGCTGGAGTTGTTCCATCATGCTGTGCACTAAAATTACTGGCTCTAAAATCAAGTTAAATAGGCACTGCAGAAAAAGATAGCTGTGAAGGAAGACAGCAAATAAACTTTGCAGACATTTAAGGGGGGTTCATGCCATGCAAGAATGCAGAAAAAAGGTGGGGTGGTCATTTCTGTTGGAAGATGAAGCAAACAAGTCCAACAGAGAGGAGAGATGGCTGATGCTGATCAGAGGAGGGAACTGAAATTTCAGGAGCAAATGAAAGATGTTGGGAATGCACCATGAAGGGCCTTGGACATACAACAAGAGTTTGATGCAACAAAAAAGCCTGAGGGAAAATGAAGACTAGAGGCAGTGTGGTCACGGGAAAGGGCTAAAAATACTCTTTGCAGTTGCATACAATCAGTACAAATCCAGAACCTGGACAGACTAAGCCAAGATTACATTTCTCAAGGACAGAAATGAGGACATAAGACATCAAGTGATGACAGCTTGAAATATAGGTCAATGATGCAGTGCAACAGAAATTGTTAAAGAGATCACACAGAAGAATCTGCAGAACTGAGATGTAGCTTCATGCAGCAAGAGATCAGACTTGTAGACAACGACTGGATAACAGACCTAGACAACAGCGTTCATGATGTGGTTGTTCACAGTGGGAGCAGAAGGCTTGAAGCAGCTGTAATGTGGGCAGCTCAAGCTCGACTAAACATTTTTTGTTATGTTGACATTTTGATCACAATAAAAATAAAATTGTTGAAACAGGTTCTTGAAGATTTCCAATTTATATGTAAAAATTATTAATTTTCCTCTTGAAGAGTAGATTTTCTGCAAAGTAGTCAAACATCCAACCACACCTGTAGCTTTTTCTTTATTAGAAGATTTTCGGCATCTATGTTATACTAGAGACAGAGAAAAAGTCCTTTATAAAAGCACCATCTAACAGGCTTATCTTCAGTTTCAAGATTATGCATTATCAGTACTAAAAAATACAAGCAGTAATACTACAATACTGGTACTCACTACTCTAAATTGTTCCAACTTCTGATTGCCTTTAATAAAGAATGGGCATTCCTTATCTCCTGTTCTGTGTCCATAACGTTTACATCTCCAACCTTTAAAAAAAAAAAAGCAGCAGTGAATTGCACCTCTGAGACAGATCAGAAGAAGCATAAAAAAGCCAAAACCACATTTCTGCAAAATATTTTCAATCTGTTGGAAGAAACAGAGAAATACAACCACTATGTTGATAAATCAATGCATAAAATACTAGGCTATTACAGCCTTCAAGATACTGTTTGCTTTTCTATCAATATGATGTCAATCTACCTGGACTTCATCATCTGTCCACCAGACATTCTGCCCTCCCACAGTGTGAATGGATGGTATATGATGGTCTAATGACATCTGGAATATTTTCAGCCTTACACTGCATAACTTTGACTTCTTTTCCCAAAGGCATCCAAAGCCCTTTGGTTGGGGCATGTGCCAGGAATTCCCGTGCGCTTTCATTGCCTGGTACATCAGGTATGCAGTCTTCTGGTTTTGTTTCATTCTCCTATGAAAAAAAAGCAGAAAGATAAGGACAATAAAATAACTTCATTCTTTAACTTTGCTAGAATTAATACTTCAAGTGTACAGACCTTCACTTTACAGGAAACATATTTCCCCCATTACCTTTTTTCCTTGTAACACACAAAAGATTTAAAATACTTGACCCTTTCTTTTTTTTCTCACCCTTGAATTTTGCAGCCAGAACTTTGCTGTACAGGAATTTCAATCCTTCCCATCCATTTATTTGAATAAATAATAGAAATGAAAACTTAACACAAGGCAGAGACTTTGTTATCCTCTTCCTGCTAGAAAGACATAATTACGAGGAAGCCTTTACAACATGGAGCAGTTATTTTTTAGGTTAAAAACATTACTTTATTGCTTAGGTATATAAATTTGGCAAATGATGAAAGAATTATTTTGGCCTAAGCAATACAGAAGAATCCTGAAAAGAGGTCATTCAAACCAAAAATCTGCTTTCCATAAATAGTTCCCCTCTATCCACACTATTAAATACTGCATGAAGTATGCTAAGACATGATGAAAGACTTGGTCTCCTTCTATCTGATCCTGGGCATTTCACTCTGGATCACCAAGATAAAGTAGTCAGCTTGTAATGATTCTCTGAGTTTTTTCTGGGAAGCACTTCTCTCTGTAATTTATATAGGTGTCATAGACACTTAAACACCTAAGAATTTTTTATGAAAATCCCTCATAATCCTAGAAAATGACTGCTTTTTACCAACCTTAATTAGCCCAGGGGGAGGTTTCTCATAGCTGAAAAGCAATAGAGATACTGTTACTCTGCAGCTTAGCACAGACAAATGAATTGAAAAAATACATTTTTTCAGTGGTATTGAGTTAAAGCCTTCAGCTCATATTTTTCCTAAAATTTTACCCTGTAACTTATAACTAAGAACTACAGCACAACATGGATACAGCAAGCTGAGAGACAGCATTTATCATATTAGTACACACGTCTCTTGCAAACATCCTTCAGATTCATATTCTTGTGGGAGCACAACTACTTCCTGGGGATATGTGGTACATTTGATCTAGCTTCAGTTACCACACATGCATAATTCTCTTTTTCTGCTGCACCCCTCCCAAAGGTCTCCAAACTTCTTTACTCCAGCACTGCTGAATCACAGACATAGCCAGCTGAAACGTCAAGTCAGACAGTTCCTTACATCTAGCTTTGCCAGCCAAACCTAATACATAATAATTTCATCATCTTCTGTGCATTAAACCTAAAGACAGAGCCCTAGTGACCAAAGTACCATATTTTCTGCAGCATTTCTTTGGGGTCAACAGTAGATAAAACATTTGCTAAAATCCAAGTAGCAAAGAGGTACTACACAGAGCACACAGCAACTGAGATAATACATGTGCTAAGGAGTTAAATGCCAGGGCATTTTACAAAATGGTCTTGGAGGTAAAGAATACACATTACTTAGAAAGATGCATGTCTGTATAACTGAATTTGTACTGGGTATTTTCCCCCCTCAAATCCCATCTGTATTTAAACGGATACACTGTTTTCTGTAATCTGCTGCCTTAGTGAATGTGTAGAGTGATCTTAGAAGAGAACTGAGATTTTTTCGGGGCTGTTTTCCAATGAAACAATGACTCTGTGCAAGCCCAGAGTCCCAAAATCTTCTGCTTTATGGCAGACTCTTTTCAACAGGACTCTCCAGACATTATCCACAAATTAACTAAGCAGGACACGAAAGGTTTGTACTGCCTGTGCATCATTTTAGGCTGTAAGTTTGATGGCATAGGCAATATTTCATTGGCTTAGCTGTGCACACACAGACACCCCTACATACCTATAGGATTGCCAGGCACAGTCATACTAATACAATCAGAACAGCAGGGTGGTTAAAGTATGTTCATCCCATCTTTATAACACTAACTTTGCAGTGCTTTTTGGTGCCTTTAATAACAAACTGATTTTCACTTGCACGTGGAAAAACAAAAACAAAATCATGTTCTTGTATATCTTCTGACATTTTTACTGCATTAAAACAATACTTCCTTTTCGGTGAAATAACATAAACCTCTTACAGCACCTTTTTATCCCAATTTCTTCTTGTTTATTTTTGGGGGGATTTTTTGGTTTTTGATTTTTTTTTTTAGTCCATTCTAGTGGAACAACCTCTGCTCCTATGCTGCATCTGTCAGACTTGGAGGAACCCGGGGGACTCCGGGTCTGGAGCCTTCTGAGCCCCAACAAGCCCTTCATAAATCACCAAACAACTCTGCAAGTGGCCCCGAACCCATTCTGCCGGCTCACCCCTAAGGGGACAGGGGGACAATAATCACCACTCCCAAAAAAACCCCTAAACTCTGCACTGGAAACGAGCCCCAAATGCCGGCGGGGTGCGCTCAGGGCAGAGCCGGGGCGGGAGCCGCGGGCAGCCTCCCCTCCTCCGCTCCTTACAAAGACTCCAAGTGCTGGATCTTCTGCAGCTGCTGCGCCTCCTGCCTCTTCCGCTTCCTCTCATGCCGCTCCTGGCTCCTGCCGCCGCTCGCTGCGGGCTCCGCGTGGCTCCTGGCCCGCGCCTGGCTGCCCCTCGCCGCCGCCTCCTCCTCCGCTCCCTCCTCCTCGTCCTGCCCCTGCCCCCTGGGCGCCCGCTGGGCCATGGCCGCGGCGGCCACAGCCGCGGCGGACGGCGGCGCCCCGGCGACGCCCCCTGCCCGCCCTCCGCATCCCGGTTTCCGGCCGAGCGCCGACTTCCTCCGGCGCCGGCAGCCCCGGCTCCCCGCCCCTCACGGAGCCGGCCGGGCCCGGGGCTGCCCCGCCGCAGCCTCAGGCAGCCCCGGCAGCTTACTGGGGGTTCGGAGTAACGTGCGGAGTGTTGTGCCTTCCAAACACCGGTATATTAAGAAAACACAACCAAACAAAAATAAACACCAAAACCTCAAAACCAAACAACCAACCAAAAAACCCAACCCACCCAACGTCTCAGTCATTCCTGCCGTGCGGGAGAGCTGCGCTCCGGGCGGTGAGACGCCACCTGCAGTGCTGCATCCAGCTCTGGGGTCCCCAGCAGAGAAAGGATATAAAACTGCTGGAACAAGTTCAGAGGAGGCCACCAAGTTGATGAGAGGGATGGAGAATCTTTCCTGTGAGGAAAGGGTTGGAGAATAGGGATTGTTCAGCCTGGAGGAAGCTCTGGGATGACCTAACCGTGGCCTTCAGAACCTGAAGGGAGCTTCAAGAAAGCTGGAGAGGAACTTTACACAAGGGTATGGAGTGACAGGACAAAGGCGAGTGGATTAAAACTGAAACAGAGTAAATTTAGATTAGCTAATGGGAAGAAATTCTTCACTGTGAGGGTGGTGAGGCATTTGCACAGGTTGCCCAGAGAAATTGTGTCTGCCCCATCCCTGACAGTCTTCAAGGCCAGGTTTGTGACTCAGAGCAATCTTGCCTAGTGGAAGGTGTCCCTGCCCCTGTAAGGAGGTTGGAACTAGGTGATCCTTAAGGTCCCTTCCAACTCAAAGCCTTCTGTGATTCTGAACTGAGAGGTGTATGGATACACATGGAAGATGGCAGTGGGCTGGCTATGAGGTGTCAGGGAGCAGGTGTCTCCAGGGTGGAGGGAAGGCTGAGGGGGTTGCTTCCCTCTCCGAGTTGAGGATGCAGCTGAGGGGCCTCTGGGATTGGGGAAGGGGACTGGGTATGCAAGGAGGGCCCCATCACGGTGCTCACTGGGCATTCTTTACTGTGAGGGTGGCGAGGTACTGGAACAGGTTTCTCAGGGAAATTGCAGATGCCCCATTCCTATAAGTGCCCAAAGCCAGGCTGGATGGAGCACTGAGCAACCTGGTGTAGTGAAAGGTGTCACTGCCTGTGGCAAGGGAGTTGGAACTAGATGATCTTAAAGGCCCTGTCCAGCCCAAACCATTCTATGGTTCTATGATTCTATGCTTGCCAGTGACCAAAATATGTGTGGCTGCAGGGTGGAGAAGGTCAGCATGCAAGCCAAAACCCAGAGCTGGGTTTGGTTTTTCTTTCTTTTATTTGTTTATTAGGGGGTGGGTTGCTGTTTTGGAAGGTACATGTTGGTTACGGGGCAAGGTTCTAACGCCAAAAAGTCTCTAAACAGAGAGACTTTATTTTGGAAGGAAACTCAGCCAGGTCTGGCTGGGGCCATGCTGCTGTGGTGGGACCTAGCTGACAAGCAAAGGGCAACCTGCTCTTTGCAGTTTCCTGCCTTGGCTGTGGTCTCTCTATTGGAGGATGAGCAGCAGAGGTAGATTGTTATTGGGGAGGCAAAGTTTAATTTTCTACTTTTGTTTCATGCTGAAATTCAAGAGCACATGAGATTTTGGGAATTGCTTAAGAGCTGAGTGAAAGGCAAAAAATATATATCTTAGAAGTTCAGGAATTGAAGGTATTTTTAACTGTGATCATTGTGGTGCTTCAAAAGTGCACATCAAAGGCAAAGGATGGTAATTGTTGTTACAGCACCCTGTGATTCTGAAGTGCAGTAAGTCAAACATGGTCCTGAAAATGCCTATCTTTTACAAGATAAAAAGCAATCTTACACATGATCTCACAATGTGATATTGTTAATCAAGTACTGCTTTAATATTACTTTAGCTTTTACTTGGTAAAACCTTATCTGGGATGAACATTCACATGTCATGTTTCTCACTTGCATTCAGCTAAGTGGCTGCCATTGTAACTTCAGATCCCAGGAAACTATTTTTGTCCAATTAATTGCCACAGTCCTTTTTAAGGCAAAAGGTGCTTATTTTACTGTTTAAACAAAATAACCTAGCTTTTGCAAGACATGGCACTAATATTCACTATTGATGAAGATTTTTATTTCATGCACCACATTTTGTATGTTTACTGGCCCTGGAAAGAATGCAGTGGCCATTCTTCCCCAGAACAGCACTCAGCAGCAAAGCAACATAACCTTGCAGATAGACTTATCATAAAAACCCAACTCCTGCTCTACATAAACTAACTCCAACCTATCCATCTGGCTGAGATGTCATAAGATGGTGCATAAGTTTTGAGTAAACCATTTTCAATCACCCCATGGGTTTGTAGACAGCTTGTGTATTTTCCTTAGCAGTGTGCTTTTGGGAGTAGCCTTTCCTTGGGCCTAAACTCAGAACAGGCTGAATTGCTGGCATGTCTTGAAAAGGCAGATCACAGCAGCTGACTCGAGGTGCAAAACTCCATTAGGACCTCTTGTCTAAAGGTTTAGAGGCAAAATCAGTATATTTGCTAATCTGAGTTAAATATCTGTGTATGAGGCAAATGCAAGGTGATGTGGTTTAGTATAATCCACTAAGTAGATGCCTTGATGCTTGCTGCAGGCTAAGAGATTTGCTGCTGTGACACTCCTAGCATGTGGGAACATGTCAAATTGCAATCACTCCCTTACATGGCCACGTATCTTCAAGCAACAAGTGAGGTAGGAGAAATATTTTTAGGTGTTGCAATTACATTTTAAATGTCTGAAAGAACTTAGGTGAGACACATTATCAAAATTTCACTCTGTTTAGAGAAATGGCAATAGTTACTAACTATTACCAATAGTTAGGAACGAGCTGGACTGATGCCTACTAAATAGAGACTTTATCTTGGAAGCAAACTGAAGTGATATAATAGAGGTTTTTTGGCCCCCCTTTCAGGCTGGTGTTGTTATTTTCAAGTGCTTTTTACTTCACTTTTTCAAACCAACAGAGTAGTCAGACTCTGAAACAGCTTTCCAGCGTGATAGGACAGTGACAGAAAACCTATTATGATTCCAAGATGCAGTGTTTCCAGTTCCTGAATGGTATTCTGTGGGAGAGGTGTGTGCCACAGCAAAGGAGACAGGAGTTCTCTAGAAACCCTGCCAGTCTTGCTTTCATACACTCTTGACTGTCCTCACTTGGCTGAAGTAAGAAGACTTCTCCCAGTTTGGAGAAGGTAAGGGCCTGGCTTACATGGCCTCAGATTCAATGACTTCAGCCTTGACAGAATAATCTGGCACAAATTCAGGAATGAAATGCATGGTCTCAACAGAAGTGAGGGGTTCCAATGGAGGCAGACAGACAGATCATAATATATACAACCCCCTTCTTACTGTTAAATCAATGGGATCTTGGCTGTGTTTTTGTGTCCCAGTGGCTTGGACAGCCAGGCTGTAATTTCTGATCAGATCAGGACTTTTGGATGTCATCTTTACTGAAGTAACTTTAAGGGGAGTACAGGAGGTGAAATTCAATAGATACATAAACCCACCCAGACACAGTGGTTTAAATGTCCCCTTCAGTTTGATACAAATAATTTTCAGTGCATTTTCCCATCTGTCTTGGAAATGAACTTTATCACTTTATTAGCTGTCTTAGAAGTACCAAGGTCAGGCTTTTTCAGTGAGAGGAGATTATTTAAAACTGTAGGTAGCTCCAAAATTTCTTTTTTTCCTCCTTTGCTGAGAAGAAACCCTGGATTCTGTGTTGCACACTTACCCAAGAAGGCAATTGCTTTCATGTTAGTCCTTAGGAAAGACCCAAACAAAATTAATTGTGAAAAGGAGGGAATAGAAAAAAAAAGTTACTTTCATTTCTATTTATTCTGAAGCAAAGGTGCTCAGCATCAGTAAATTGCTTAAATCCATTCTATTTAGAGGGTTTATATTAACTGAGGGTCTGGTTCCTGGTACTTAGAAGGGTATTTCTTTGAAGTTGTGGAGTGGGTTTCTTTTCCTTTATATGAATGCAGTGCTTCAGACATTTCAAGAAGTTAATTTTTTGGGGAAATTCTGTCTTACAACTGGTGTCATGGCACTGTAATTCCAGCTTGATCCAAACATCTAAACAGAACCATTAATTGCTGTTGCAATGTGAAGTATCTGAAAAGCTGTTATTTTTCATGGCATCCACTACAACATTATAATGTTTCAGCTACAAGGGATAATTCTGGGATCAAATGAATTTACATCTCTGTCATCCCATGGGCATCAGTATTCCTGTGAGAGTATAGCCCTGGCACAATGTCAGCCAGTCTGCTTTTTTCCATTTTTGGCTGGCTAGAGCTTTGGGCCAGGATCTGTTTCTGATTATGTGTCAGATATTACGCATGAGAGAGGAATCCAGAACCCGTGTTAGGCTCCATGGGAAGTTAAGCACCTCCTAATGGGATCCAGAAGAAGCAGATCTGAGCAGGCTGAGCAGAGCACAGTCCAAATCCAGCGTGGCCCGCCCATGGCTGCCTGAAGCTAGATGGAGACATTCAGAACAGAGTGAGTCTAAGCTCTGGACCACTTCTGACCACAGGGAAGGCTGCCTCAGAACAGCAGTGGCCCTTTACCACCTGGGAACCTCAGCTATTAGGAGAGGTGCTGACGTTCTTTCTTACAGAGAAAAGTTTTGTCTGAAGTGGAAATGCTAGCAGTTTCTTTTGGTACTAGTTTAACAATTAGAAAATATGATTCCTCCTTGGTCTGGGTATTCAGTGATGGGAGGTTCTGTGTCACTGGGATAAAATACCCTGTAAGCATCAGGCTAAGAGCTGCATCAGTGGGGGCCATGCACCTTTTATATTGCCCTCTTTGGAAGCAGTAGAGGAAAGCATCTGAGATTCATGGGGCCACAAATACAGATGTGTTTGAATTTGGCTGAGTACACTAAGAAGAGCGCCCATCCAACAGTGGACACTGCACTCCTTTC